CTTCAGGCAAGACCCCGGACCTGTCCCCCATCTCCCAGCCCCATTGGTGGAAGAGGGGTCCTGCTTCAAGCTGCCAGGGAAGCAAATGTGAAAGCTGCAGTTTTAAACTTGGCACCAAAAATGGGCTCAGAATTTAAAACTGCAGCTTTCACTTCCTTGCTGAGGAAGATGCCAGCTGCACGGGGCTGCTTGGCTGCAGGGCCCTCTGCGGCCGCAGGTTTCGCAGGCATGGACAGGCTGGCCCTGCCCAAAACTGAACACAGTGTTCCAGATGTGGCCTCCATATGTGAGACTGGGGGAACTAGGAGTAGACCCAGGAGGGCCCAAGATGGGAGAAGGCAGCAGAACTGAGTAGAAGCCTTGGGACAGCTTAGAGAAAGGCACAGCAGCTGTACTTGATTGTGGTTAGGTTTTGCTTTATGTTGCTGTTTAAGCTAGGTTTGCCAACTCTCTTTGAATGTATTCTGGGAGGTTTAATCACATGATGTGCCCATGACATACAATCCAAACGTGCCTGCCTGCTTATGTAAATCAGATATGGATTACGGTGCATAAACTTTACATCAGGAAGGCAAATGTACATTACTATTACATTTTAAAAACCCACTGGACTACTGCATAAATTGGATTCAATGTTTAATATTTAGTGTAATGAATGCCCTATCATTTCTCCTGGGTGACTCTCAGCAGTCTCCTGGAGATTTATATCTAATACTTGGAGACTGCAGAGCAATCCCAGAGGGTTGAAAAACCTGGTTTAAACCATGAGGTATGGGTGCTGCAGAAGGAGGCCAATGAGAGAACCTGGAGAGGACACTTGTGTTGTTCAAAATTTCACTGGCTGTTTCGTTTCGACACTGTTTTGACTCATTTTGAGTTGAATGGCCTGTTCTAGCCCAGCTGGGCTGACTTCCCATCCTAGGCCAATCAAGCAAAACATTGAAACAGAGCCAAAACAGCCTTACTGTTTTGACGAAGCAAAATGGAACAGCTGTTTTGAATTGAAATGAAATTTGATACAAAACGCTGTTCTGTCCAAACCTTGAAACTCAAGGCGAAACAGAGTAGTGCTGTTTCGCACAGCCCTAGAGGGCACTGCATTTGACAAAAGGCTATTAGAGACTGGGGGTTCAGCCTGAGGACTGAGGGCCCAGTGGACTGAATTGAGCCTGAGGAGCTAAGAGCCCAGAGACATGGAGCTGAGGGATGAAGGAATCTCTTTGGTGAACTAAGTTTAAAATAACATCAAAGGCATGGAAGGAAAGCATAGGGAGGTACCCTGCTGAACCAGAGAGCAGAGGAGATGGGATCATAGTGGCCACTGGGAGGCACCACACCTGCCTTTAGATGGTACATCTCATCACACCATGCCAAAGGCACAGGAATTAAAAAAAGCCACATCTGTTACTTTAATACAGAAATGCAATAAGTCTTTGCCTTGCTTTCTAACACAGCAGAATTGTGAGGATTTTAGTTAAATCTAAAACAGGATATCATTCTCAAGTGAAAGATGCTAGGTAAGTGCAAAGATTTTTATTAAATTTTAATGAAATATAGGATCAAAAGATGTCCTGCAGAAGAGTTAGTAGTTTTTAACACATTTCGGTATAGCTATAGATGAAACTAATGTTTTGGAGAATTTTGCATTATTAATTTAATCTAAGGAATTGAAACCCTTAATTGTGGCCAAAGCAACTGGTAACCCTCAACTGATGTGCTGACTAAGGATTATAATGAAATAATTAGGAGATTTACTGGATTCATTCTGACTCACTGGCTAAATACCTGATACAAAACAAAATACTCATAGGGTTTTATTTCTGCACAGGGTGGGACTTTTTTTCATTTTGATTTTAACCAAATCTAGATCAGGCATGGAAAGAGGATATTACAGATGTGATGGTTGATATACTATTAGTGGGTAATAGCAAAGGCTTCCTATTCTAAATATAAACCCCTATTGATTTAATTTCTTTATATCTATTGTATTTTCTATTTGTCCAGCATCCTGTGCAAATGAATAAGATTATTACAATGAATTAAAACAATATTTCAGCTTCCTTTTACACAATGAAATGTTATAATACCTGGGGGACTTAATTTTTCAGTTGATACCTAGTAGGTTTATATCAGCTAAACAAAAATCCTTTTTGATATTACAGTCCATTGGACAAATTAAAAGTTCTGCTCTAGTAAATAACTTAACATTTAGAATGCACTAGCATAGTTCAGACCACTGTGTTTCTACTCCCTAGTATTTAGAATTTTTAAATATGGATGCCTAAAATAGGCACTTAAATAAGTGGTCTTATTTGGAAAAAAGTTGAATGCCTCTGATAATTGGGCTGCTTGTATTTAAATACCAAAATATGGACTTAGGTGCTATTTGAAAATGTTGGTGTTGATATATGTTTTCATTAGCAAGATCACAGTTGGTCCCAAACACCAGTAAACCTCTCCAATTATTCCTAATGCCCTCTGACTTTCAATATGCTCTTGTTTTAACAACTAAAAGACCTTTACACCCCTACCCCTGCCATCCTTTTATGAGATGCTTTATGGCAAGTTTTGTTTCTGTAGACTTTATAGGTGATATTTATATCATGGTGTAGCCCGTCTACAGTCTCTGCTTGGTTTAACACAGTGGTGCTCAAACTTTTTCTCCAGAGGGCCGGATGGGCAGTGCCTGGTCCAATCTGTGGGCTGGACGGTGGTTCTGATCTAGCACTTGGAGCTGGTGTGATGGCCACCATCCAACCATGTAAAGGGAGGTGGGGAGTAGCCCATCCTGATCCCTGAAGGGGAGGAAGGGGGCTTTACCTGGGCCCATAGAGGAAAGGGAAGGGAGTTGGAAGGGACATGACTCAGACATGACCTGGTTGCAGCCCAGCCCTGGAGGGAAAAGGGGGCATGGCTTGTCCCTATCTGGGCCCCACATAGAGAAGGGGGCATGGTTCGGTTCCATGGGGGAAAGTGGGGCACGGCCTCAGCCTGGCCCTGCAGGTGGAAGGGATGTGGCTTGGCTCCGACTGGGTACACAGAGCTTAGTGTTTGGGAATTTGACATAGGGGAAGGTGGCTGAAATAATGGCCATCACTCTGCTGGCACCAAATTTCCTGAGCCATGGGGAGCCCTGCAGCCCAGATCTGATGGCTTTGCAGCCTACATTTTGCTCATGGGCCAGAGGTTGAGCATCCCTGGTCTAACAGATTGCATGTCATGATTTCCCAATGTGTATGCTTTTTGTGATGCATTGCATACTTTTCTGACCTGCTGAAATATACATGCCAAAGTAATCTGAACCTAGCAAGGAGACTGCACACTTGTCACATGAAATGTGACTGGAAGTGGTATTGAGATATGGATTAGATTTAGAGTTGGTTTGAAGTCAAGGCCAAATAAGAGCTAGAGTTGAGGTTTTAACCTGTCAGGAAGCTGTGGGCTGGTATGTTGCTTAAAGGATTAAAGATATATCATATATCTCCTTTACTTTGTGCTGGCCCTCAGGATGAGTATTGTAATAATCTCCTTAATTTGTTGCAATCTAAGTGAGATCAGTCAGCAGATATGTGTACCAATTAAGTTTAATTTCAATACTTGCATGTAGATGAGTGATTCTTAACCAAGGTGTTCGAGATTCTCTCAAGGGTGCCAGAGGTAAGAACACAATGGCTGTGTACACACACTTAAGTGATCTGGGAGAATTCTCACAGGTTTGTTTTCCTGGTAGAAAAGCTTACCCCAAGATGCCTGAACAGAGATTTGATTTATTAAGTCCAGGAAGAGCAGAAAGCAAGCAGTGCTGACCCTGCACATTCCAACCTCTTCTGCAGACTCCCTCAGCCTACCCAAAGACAGATGATAGTAATATACAGGTCAGCCCTTATCAGCTGACCCTGCTCAGGGTCAGCCTGTGTCTCCTTGCAGCACACTATGGGATTGTGAAAGGGTCATGTTCTGCTTGCTCACTTGAAGTCGCAGGCTATCAGGTTACAAACTGTACCCCTGAAAGTGGAAGCAAAGTGCCCTGGGATGCTGGAGGACTGTGCTGTGCCTACTCTCAGAAGAGAAAGTGTATAGACATTTGCTTTTCCAAGAGGAATTCTCTAGGAGTGATTTAACCCTGGTGGTTCCTGCATTACTTTTTTTCCTGGAGGAGTCATTTATGCTCATTTGTACACTTGTGGTTTCACCTGGGAGAGCCGCAACTCTTCCAGGAGAAACTGAATGTCTGTAGAGCCAATATCAGTGCTGCTAGGTGTGCAAACATAATGCACAAGATAAACCAGGAAATTTCAAACAAGATTCTACAATGTTGAACTGTTCTTATCCTGTTTTGGTCTTTCTGAATTCCTTTCAAGAGAATAATTTCTCTATTATCTTTCTTATGTCAAAAATAGAGTGAAAACTAAGAGCTGCCATTTTCCAAGGTGTGCCGTGCATCTAAAAAGTTTGAGAACCACTGATGTAGAACAAACAGTAGTAAATAAGACAGAGCTTACTGTTGTTGCATACTTTTCAATGTGTCAGTATTGCATTTACTGATGGACTGAAGTTTTATTAGAAATGATATAACTGAGTAGTCAGCATTTCACAACTTATGTGTTTTATTGAAGTCTACCTTTGCTAGTAGAAAACATGCTGGAGTGTGTGGGTAGGGGCTTGCCTGGGGACAAATAGCAGTAGCACAAATATCTGCCGCTGCTATTTGTCCTGTGGTGTGCTCATGGGGTCCAATGGTTATGTTAGGCAGATCAAATCCACAGCCAGATGTAGTCATGAAACAAGTAAATATACTTTGTTTAGTTGGAGCTGCTATTGCTAATGTGAGGAATTAATTCCAACCAACTTTTTCTCAAATAGCCTCATTTTTGTTATATAATATTCCTATAATGTTAAATCACACTTAATTACAATATAAATAACTGAAAATCTTCAGGAATGAAAAATAATGGTTTTTTCACTCGTCATAATGTATGCTATTGTTTTCATTACTACAGATTCTTGAGGCACTGGCAAAAAGCGATGAACATTTTGTTCAGAATTGCAACAGCCTGAATTCTTTAAATGAAGTTATCCCCACTGACCTCCAAAGTAAATTCAGTGTTATCTGCAGTGAGAAAATTGAACATATATACCGAAGAATCTCTAGTTATAAAAAGGTACAGATCAGAAAATGTCCCTTTGTTTTCCTAATTTCCAGCTATTTCCTTTTTCACAGACAGCCTCTTTTTTCTACCTTGAATTACTACTATTGTAAAGTCCCCCACACTCACCTTTGGCTCCCCCCCTGCTTTTTCCCCCTCCCTTCCCTGCTCTGTATTTTATTTACCTAATTTCTACCTATTTACATTCTCACTGATGTCCTGTTACACTTTTAGCTTCTCACATTCCTTGGAGTCTCAGAACAGCAGAGACTTCCTATGCCTGAAGAAGGGTGATTGCGCCCGAAAACTTGCTAAGAACTTTTTTCCAACTACTCAGTTGGTCTAAGAAAAGATACCACATCTACTCAAAGAACCTTGCTTGCCTATGTCCCTAGACCAACATGGCTACAACAAAAAACCCTTGAAAATGTTCTATTTCTTTCTCTGTTTCCTTAAGAAAAGATAAGATGTAATTGAATTTGATCTATTATAAAATATAGGGTCAAAATTTGAACCATCCAAAGGTGTAAAATTCTAAACTAGCATACAATAATTTTAACCTGTGCCCTCCATTATTCGTGTCATTCATTGTGTAGTATATATACCTTCATTTGCCATGTCCAGCCTTGATGATGTAATCTGATTGGTAACTAGGAAATTCCACTGTTTCCTGTGAAAGGCTTAGCACTCTGAGTACTGTAAGCAATCTGGAGAATTAGAAAGAGTTAGCCAACATAAGGCAATATCAGTGTCAAACTTTTTTCACAATGCATCTTCATTTTAAATTAGAAATGTTAGAATTTCATTTATCTTTGATAAACTGTAGCCTTCCTACTACTAGTATTAGCAGACTATACTATAAATGTTTAGAAGTTTTTTTTTGAAAGTTGTTGGTTTAGTAAAATAGCTGAATGTTACTGTATAAGGAAATTAACAAAGCTGCTCACTTTCGTAGACCCCAAATCTAAATTCACTAGAAATCAGCAAACAGTTTTTGAGTTTGTCTGTTCTTCTTTAATTAATAAGCCTTTACCAATTTCCTCAGGTGAACCTGCAGTCTCTCTTCATGACCTCTGGGTTCTTTTCTCCCCTATCTTAATTACTGTGAATTGTCAGGGCTAGTTTGACATCTGGTTTTTTTTAGCTGCTCTTATTCTGTCATCTGGCTCTGGGATGTAAACTTTGCAAACTGGTTTTCTGGGATTTTGACTGCAGAAATTCAAAATATTGCTGAAAGGTTTAATATGGCTTCTAATAGACCCTGAATATTTCTGTAGGAGTTTTGGGAGAGAGGGGTCAGACCCTAAGGAGTTGGCTTCCTTGGGATTAATGAAGAAAGGCTTTCATGGAGAATTCTTTGTCTTGTATGGAGCAAAGAGCCAGGAACCTCTTCCTAAAAACTTTTTTTTTTTTTTTTTGCTGTTGGACTCATAAGAAACAACAAAACCAGAAACCTGAAAATTAGGTTACAGGAGACTTCAGAAGGGTTTATGAAAATTAGTTGACTTTTGCTAAACAGACTGTCAGGGACAGAGGCATCAGGCAGGCTAAATTGCTCCTAGTCCTAGTTACTGAGTTGACCTGGCTGCAAGTGGCCTGTCTATCCCCCAACTGGTCCCAGTTGCCTGACTGGGCATGTCTGTTTGCGTTCAGTGTTTAGCAGGCTACTCGGCAAGATTTTTGTTCCTACACTGGATTCCTAGTTTCCCAGTCCTCAGTGTTGCCTATTTGTCCCTAGTGTCCTGCTTGTTTGTTCCTGGTTTCCTGTACCCTGGGTTATATCTGTTAAGTTTCTATCTTTATCCTTGTTCCTGATTCCTGCTTGCAGACTCCTTGGCTGACTATACACATGCTCAGGGGTAGAGCATTTTAATTAGAGTAATTCCCAGACAGCCACTCTAATTAAAATGTCTCACTGTCATGTGTATGAAGCCCCCCCCCCACATTTAAAAATAACCATAGGATGCTTTATCTACACCTCATTCAATAAGTTTTATCTATTTTAAAACCCCCACAGCCATTTTAAAATGTTCAGGGGCTTAATACTCATGATGGTGAGGCAATACTGGAGTGTTCTAATTAGAACGTGGAACAGATTCAAATAACGGAGTTTGCTCCCATGCATTTTAATTAGAATGCAAAACCAGCATGTGTATAGACAGTCCTTGTTCCAGCATCAAGCCCAGATCCCTGTGTTTCTAGACTGCCTTACTAACTCCTTGACCCCTTTGTTTCAGACTGCCTTGCAGGGTTTTGGCTTATGGCTTAACCTGGCAATTGCCTTCATCCTGCTTGTGTACAGTAAGTAGTCAGGGGTTCCTGACTGTGGATTCCTGACTTTCCCTAGCTCATGGTTCTACCCAGGGTGACCGCCTATTTCCTGGGTCCCTTATAGACCTCAGCCTCCTGACCTGCCTGCTCCACACCCCCTGATTCCAGTTGAGACCCTTGCTTACCTGACCTTGTTTGTACCTGATTTTATGGGTTGTGACCCTCTGGGGTAAAGCGCATATCACTTGTTATAATTGATCCCCTACAAATCTTTAGATATTTGTCTAAACTAAACCTAAGACTTTTCAGGATGGGTGGATGGATAATTTTAGTTACTCAATCAGAAATGTGCTTTGGAGTATAGGTACTCAGTAGGTATCTTGCATACCTTTCCTCTTGCCAAAGAATTGAGTGTGAAGTGCAATCTGTATTAACAAGAGTCCGAGACAAGAAGCAGAGTTTATTAGGTTAAGTTGGAGGGAAAGTGGCACAGCCACATTAGGAAAATGACTACATTGCCTAGCAGCTGGTGGTGCAGTTGTAAGTCCTTGATTTAAAAAATCTCAAAGTTACTCTCACCAGAATTGATAAATATGGTACAAGCATATAACTTCAGAAAATTTCTGTTCCTTAATGACTGTTAGTAATATGTTTATGTTCCAGGAGTAGATGTGCCCTTGTTTTGATAAGGTAAATGTAACCATAGTAACAGAAGTCTCCCAAAATGTATTAGCTTTTCTCTTATTTTCATAAAAGTTTGAATTCTATAAATAGAAACTCAGGGGTTTCTACAGTTGCTATTATTACCAGAACATTTTGCTCATAATAGGCTGCAAGTCCACTGCTATAGGCTCAAGATATTTTTAACACATGTATGAAAAGAAGTTTGGTCCTGGCTTATGACCCAATTAAATCATAATCATTCATTTGGTCTCTGTGGAGCAAGATGTGTAGGAGATTCACATGTGAAATATGTACTACTTGGAGGAACATTTTATCATTAAATATCCTTAGTTCCCTTTTTAATTCTTCATGGCTTCTTCAGTTTTAAAACAATTTCATAATTGGACTTCTTGGCCTAAGTGAACATAGATCGATCTAAACCCATAACTGTACAGAATTTGGCACATATAGACCATGTAAAAATGGCACAAGCAATCTAAGGTAGACCTGGTATGAAGTATACTCAATTCAGATTGATTTAGATTAGGGTGATGTATCAAACATCTGTACTGTTCCCATATTGTTTTCAAGTTGGATCACTTTTCTCTGGCATTTCAGTCTGCTTTTTGGCCCTCCCTAGCCCTCTGTGCTCTGCTGTTCCAGCTGACCTCCCAGTAGGCCTCTCCCCCAGGCTGTTCCAGTGCCAAGGAGGCACAGCCCCTCTCTCCAGCCATACCTCCTGCCTCCAGCCATCTGTCAGCTGCAGGGAGATGGGAGGCATCTCTGTCCCCTGCATAAGGCCCAAGACCTGGGCACCCCAGTCCCTGGGCCGTGGCCCCACGCCCCCAACACCCTGTCATGAAGTACCCCATAACATTCATGCAGACTCCAACACTGAACCCAGGAGAATCTCTGCACTTGGGCATACACGCAGGGACCCTTACCCTGGCACCTATACACCCTGTTTGGGACCCTCATGCTTCTGTACTCAGGCACAGCCCTTTGGACTCCAGTCCTTGCACATGTGCACACAGCCAGGGACTCCCATGCTCAGGCACCCACATACCACATCTCCGAGGCCAGAGCCAGGCACTCTGACTGGCTGACAAGGACTAGGCCACCAAGGATGACATAGATGCTAGGATGCTCTGGCACCACCTCCAAACCATTGAGTGCTGGTTCAGGCACCAATTACTTCCTGGTCCTTGGAGACTCTAGAATACAGAATCATAAAAAAATAGGGTTGGAAAGGACCTCAAGAGGACATCTAGTCCAACCCCTTACTCAGAGGAGGACCATCTACAACTAGATCATCCCAGCCAAGGCTTTGTATAGCAGGGTCTTGTCTTAAAAACCTCCAAGGACAGAGAGTCTACAGCCTCTCTGGGTAACCTGTTACTACCCTCCCAGTGAGAAAGTTCTTTCTCATATCCAACGTAAACTTCCCTTGCTGGTTCCCTTGAGACCATTGCTTCTTGTTCTGTCATCTGCCACCACTGAGAACATTTTAGCTCCATCCTCTTTGGAACTACCGTTCAGGTAGTTGAAGGCTGGTATTAAATCCCCACCCAGGCTTCTCTTCTTCAGACTAAAGCAGCCTAGCTCCCTCAGCTTCTCTTCAGAAGTCACGTGCCCCAGCCCCCTAACCATTTTCATTATCCATTACTGGACCATTTTTTCTACATCCTTTCTCTAGTGGGGGGCTCAGAACTGGACATAACTCCAGACATGGCCTTACCCATGGCAAATACAGGGAAAGAATCATTTCCCTCAATCTGCTGGAAATACTCCTATTAATGCAGTCCAGTATGCCATTAGCTTTCTTTCTACAAGGGCACACTGTTGGCTCATATTCAGCTTATTGGCAACTGTAACCCCCAGGTCCTTTTCTGCAGACCTGCTGCTTAGCCAGTTGGTCCCCAGCCTGTAGTGGTGCATGGGTTTGTTCCATTCTAAGTGCAGGACTTTTTTGTCTTTATTGAACTTCATTAGATTCTAGGAGCACATCCTGGCTACCCATAACCCTAGCTTCCTCGACATTTCCTGCTCCCCACACTTTACTGGAAGTAGTCAAATTCACTCTGCGGTGTCTGTACAGATTGGGTGCTTCAGCAGGGTTTTTTGGCACATTTAGCTAAAGCTGATTCAATCAGCCATTAGATAAAAGTGGCCAAAAAGCCCCACTGAAACAAATTATTTATACAAATGCTGCAGAGCTGGGTACAACTAAGGTGCTGCCTCTACTGGACAGTGCTGGGCTCAGCACAGGAGCGTGGTGAGTTTTAGAGTATAGTGCTGGAAGCCATCGGCCCAATCCAGGACATTTGGTGGGTGCAGGGTCCAGTATCTGGCCCCACACAGGACAGCCAGCTGCTGGTTTGAGGGCAGGAAGCCATACCCCATGGTAACCAGTTGATGCATCATGTCCAGATGGATGCATATAATGTTCCACAGCCTCTGGCAAGAGTCATGCAGGGTGACAAGCAGGATACATCATAGTTCCTGGGTCTGCATGCTTGGGTGAGGGTGGTGTAGTGCCATGGAAAGGTATGGGCAGGCTGGGACATGGAGGTGTGTGCAGTTAACAAGGGATAACACTGACTCTGAGGTTCGTCTCAAAGTATCCTGGTAGGGCATGGGGGAGGTGGCTGGTGAGGTGGCAGGGGGCTGGGGGTTTGGTTGCCCACACCAGCAGTCATTTGGGGATGGCTTGGACTCTCAGCTGTGCTTGGCAGTCTCCAGCAGCCTGGGAAACACTTAGGGCATGCTGAGAGGCTTGTAGGAGTGCCCCCTCCATATGGGCCTTGGCCAGCACAGTTTACCTGTGCACTCCTATGACTTTCCCACAAGGTGAAATGTGTATATTGTTCACTACCAACCAAAAGTAGGTCACCTAGAAAAAACTGCCACTTAACTTGATTCCTCTTTTGGTTTCTTGAATGTCTGTACATGGCCTATGTAGTCTTCAGGAACTTGTACTAGATGCAAATGTTTAAGTACTAGCAAATTGCCTGTCAAGAATGATGGGGGGCGGACCAGCAGGGACAGAGCCCCCCCACCTCCTCCACCAGTTCTTGTCAGGCCTGCTCTACCCCCACCCCACTCCCTGTGCTTCAGGTCTGACCCTGCTCCCCCCCATTCTCCCACCGCTTTGGGTCCAACTCTGC